TGGCCCAGGGCATGCTTGGGGCTTTCAGCTTGCTGGGTTCCTTGCCTACCACCATCTGCTCTCAGCCATGGTTCACCTACAACACCACCCTCACTGACACTGCATTAGTGCAAGCCAAATTATTACCACTGTATTTTCTGCATTACCATAATATGCACAAATTCTGGTGAGGGACCAGCAAAACCACCAAGAAAAAGAAGGCTCTTGCTCCAAAGCACTGACTGACTGCACAAGTGGGTGCTAGAGGCAGCAGGCAGAAGAAAGGGCGCAGGGAACCAGCTGGGCAGGGGTCTGCAAGCTCAGCCAGTGACATCTGTGCTCCTGATCCTTCAATGCCAACCTGTATTCCTTAGACAGTGGAAGCACACTGCATTTGGCTAGGGCTTGGTGTGTGCCTGTGAGCGCATGCAGACATTATAGACACCTACACTCACCCTTCCTGTGAAATTAGAGTGTTTTTACAATGGTCTACTTTGGTTGTTTTGGAAAACAGAGACACACAAATACAAATTTAAGGCAATTGGTTTCAAAGTGTCTACTTGTAACTAACCACGGCTAAACTTGCTGGTTTCACTTACTTGTTTGTGTTTGGGGTATTAGATACAGTCTGAGGCCATGGCCAGCTATATAGGTGCACCATATCTCTGCTGCACAAATAAATCAAACTAAAGCAGCCCAGTTCTTGTAGACTGACATTAGGATAAGTATATCTTAAGAAAGTTCTTATTCAGACTTGGCTTCAGGCAATAAAACGTCATAGATGTATAACTCTAGCGAGTGAAATTTCTAGGGAGCAAATTAGGCTAAAAACATCTTCTAGAGACAGCTAGAAAGGAATCAGACACCACCAGAAAATAAGGCAAGTTATGCAGTAAATGTTTCATTTATTGGATTTCTTCCATTACTATTAGGGTTAAAAGATGGGTTGTCAATAAAAATGGTATATTTATGGAGGCTCTGTATTTCAGAAGCCTATTTCTTGTCATTCACTCCTATAGTGCTTGATATCACCTCATGATAAAGTGTGAATAATCCCTGCATGAATGCATATTTCTACCCATTAACGATTTTATTATTTGACAGAATTATCTCTAACAAAAGCAAGTGGTACAGCTGTGGTTTAGGTGCTAAAAGGGAGGGATGTTCCTACTGAGCAATAGGCATGACTTGGGAAGCAGAGCATGGATTGAGAGCCATTAGGCTGTGTTATGAGCTTGAAAAACAATGCATGCAGTTTTTTGGAATTAATTTTCCAATGTTTCTCCATCAAATGAAGATAGAAAGTCCTCCTTTATCTAGTAGCACACAGTGACCTGGTCAGTATGTGTGACATCTAAAGCCACAAAGAAATCTGGCAGTAGCACCATGATCTGGCTGTTTGTTGATATTTTCCTGTTTAATAGGTTTCTTGAATTTTCACGTGTGCTTGTTTCAGTCAATGCAAATGACTGCAGACAGGAGCCATGGTTTCTGTGTTTTCATGCTGTCATTTCATCTGCCCTAGAAAAAATTTCCTCTCTTTGCTAACTCTGGAAGAGCCAGTACTGGTAAGACACTAGGCAGATGTGTTTGCTTCCAGTTATTGGAACTTTTTCAATATTGATTTTTTTTTTTTTTTTGACATTCAGAGCAGATTTAATGATCCAAGATTATTTGTAAACATGCAGATTTCTTTGAGCTGTAGACTCAAATCCCAGCCTGGTCAACCAAAATCCTTTTATCTTTTCAAAATAAATAATTTGAAATTTACACATTGCAACCTACATTGGGACCTCTTGGACAAGACCGTGAAAACAGATTCACACCAAATATGTAAACATTAGCCAGGAGATCCAGCTGGCATTTAGCAGGCCATATTTCTCCAATAAAGGCTTGGGCCTTTGGTGAGACATTCAAGACTCCAAAACATTCTTCATAAAACAGTAAATTTCCTTGGCTGCCCCATGTCAACCTCTTCCCTCTTCATTTCATTGCACTGTGAGCTGTGAGGTGAACCTCACGTGCTTTTTCACTGCTGCCGTTCTACTGCAGGAGTGTCAGGACCAAACTGTTGGGCCAAAGTGTAAAATGGTGACGCCGTTGTCGGTCACCAAGCCCCACAGCTCAGCATTTGGTACAATTGTACCAAGTGGTGAGGGTTACAAAAGCTTGGAGAAAAGCACTTCCACTTCTTCATCTGTGCTAGAGGTCAGCTTTGGCAAGAAAGACATCTCCTGAATGGGGAGCACCTGGCTTTGTCTCTCCAGCTGTCACTTAAAATCGGGTATTCAAACAAAAAGCTGCATTTCGTGACATGGACTACCTTGAATTTTTTTATTCTATTTTTTAATATTGCGCTTCTTTCACTGTTAAACACTATACTTTTTTTTTTTAAAATCCAAGGTACCATCTGAGAACCTACCACTCAACAGCTGCTATTGACCCCTGGAGAGCTCTCACTTCCCTGACTGTGAAACAAATTGCTACATAAGGAGAAATGATACAAATCAGATGCACAAGCTATCCAAAGTGACTTGTACTACCTTCATTAAACCGTGTTGGTTCAGTAACCATCTACAATCCTTGGACTTCACAACCACACTAGCTCTGGGCTGCAGTTTGAAAACGAAGTTTGCAGAAGGAAGAACTTGATGGAAAATCGAGAGCAGTTTCCTGGCCCTTCACGGGACTCCTCTGAATCCACCATGGAGGCAAAACCCCAGCTGCAAAAATGTGCCCAGAAAACACCTTCCACAGTGGGGGCACAGTCCTTCCAGAGCCACCTTCCACACCCAGGACCACCACTGGCACTGGGGCAAACAACACTGAGCTCCCTTCTAGCAGCACTTACTCGTGTGAGCAACACTGCTTGCACGAGCAGCCCGGGTGTGGCATCACCTCCACAAGTCACCTGTCAGGGATGTGACTCACCCCTGTGAGCCTCTACAGGATCAGGCCCTTCTTCTACAACCAGCTTTGGGCAACAACCGGCTCTGTCCTGCACACTAACTTTTGATGGTGCTTACTAAGTAGTTAGCAGCTACACTGGGACTGAAGCAAAAGCATGCTTGTTTAAAGAAAAATCCATAGCAGATTGTAAAAAGATCTTGGAAAAACAAAACAAAACTGTGCAACTGTTTTTGTTCATTTGGATCAAATTATAGCACATGGCCCTGCAAAATAAATAGGAGTCTGTCACATTTGTATTTCTAATCTCACATTGTTTTGGGATATAAAGGCATTTAAAATCAAGGAGCAAACAAAAATGGAGAATATTTGTTAAGGCGTCAGTCTGCAAGGCACTAGTTTGCAGAGACAGTAAGTACATAATCAGGGGTAAATGGGGAGTGTGCATGCCCACAGACAGTTATTTAGTACAATTTCTGAAAGTAAAAAGCAAGTTAGTCAAAACACCAGTGGAAAAAGAAACTGTTCAATGCATTTGTACATTGGGTTAACAGTGAAGTATTTCATTAGTCATGTTTTCACTTGGTGTCTTAAAATAATCCCTTTTCTGTCTCCATATTCCCACTTAGACATTGTTCACAGACTTATTTATTTATGAAGTCTGAAGGTTAGTCCCTACCTGCTGAGACTAATTAGCCCTGTTCTTTGTGTCCTATGCAATCCTGTCTGATTAAATGTACACATTTGTTTTACTTCTTTTCATGCTTCCTTTCACTCTACTTCTGCTTTAGTGATTAATATTAAAGTTGTAAGTTGCAGTGATTTTTTTATTTCTATTTTGTCTGCATCTTTCCCTTTAGTATGCAAATTTCTATGTGAACTTTTTAATGCCTGAGAATTTGTGTTAGCCTTGTCGATCTCTGTATTATTATTTTTATTATTCTTTTTATAGAAGACAGTTTAGCTGAAACCCCCAAACTCTCTAAATATTGCATGACAAATTGGCTTTGTTTTGGAAACCCTATGTGCTGAATGACCCTTAGCATGAGCAGCAGGTTAGATTTCTGGAGGAATGTTTGGATTATTTAGTACAGCCTGTCCCTTGCTTTCAAACACCATTTCCATTAGGCAATTTACTAATTCCCATTGAAATTACTGTCTCCCCCCGCCCCCCTCCCCACTCCCCTCCTTTTGTTCCTTGCCCATGTTAAAGTTTCCAATTGACTCGTCCATTGTTACAATTTGTCACTGCTGGAAGATCAATTTGTTTCCCCTTCCCCTCGCCACGTTAGGTTCGGGGCACAGATGCGGGTTCTCGCCTCCGCAGGACTCCGCTCCCCGTTTTGCTGCCGTGCCCCCGCAGCCCCGGCCGGACCGCGGACCCCCCTTCTCTCGGATTCCCCCCCAGCAGCGGGATGTTTACGCCACCACAACTTTTCACTTCTGAAGTCTGGGAGTCCTTGATTCTCCGTCCTGCCATGCTAATTAACTTCTTAGCAGTCACATTCCTTTTCCTCCTCTCTCTCTCTCTTTTTTTTTTATTTTTTTTATTTTTACATCAAGGACCAGAAAACATTATGCCTTACTATAAGATAATTTGGAAATATCTGATCTTCAGCGAGTGATCTCACACATTTTCATCCTGCGTGTTATAACCATAATAAATGCAAAGACCAAGTGCTGCTCAAAAAAAAAAAAAAAAAAAAAAGGCTTTTACTATATTCCAGTGTTTATTATGATTGGAGTTTCTTACCTCCAACGAGTGGCATGAAAAATGTTAACGGTTTAAAAAAAGCACCCACCGCACCACCCTGCCGTCACATGTACCCAAATAATAAGGGCACACAAACATCCTTCAGGAGAACCCGGGCTGCGGGGGGATGATATGTTTATTAATGTCCAGAATGTAAAAGTTGGCGCTCCCGGAGCGCGGAGTCAGGGACACCCGTTCGAGTGTTTTTCCCCTCGCTCCCCCCGTCCCGCAGCTCTGAGCTACGGCGCACAATTTTTAAATTTTTTTTTTTTTTTTTTTTTTTTGGCCAACCTCTCCCCCCCTCCCTTTGCGTGCCGGCCCCCCCAGCGGCGCCCCCGCCCCCGCTGCCCTCCCCTCGCGCTCCCGCTCCCATGCCAAAAAGGATCATTGTTAGTTTCCTACTTCCCCCACCCTCCTCCTCCTCCCCCTCCCGCGCCCCAGACCTGTTTATTTATGCAGACGTCACCGGGGAGCCCCCGCCCTCTCCTGCATCTCATTAAGTGCCTGGTGTGTTTCTCGCTCCCTGTCAATAATCCCGGATCCCAGACTTCTCCGTTCCTCCGGATTTCGATCCCCCTTTTTCTATCTGTCAATCAGCGCCGCCTTTGAACTGAAAAGCTCTCAGTCCAACTTCAACTCACTCAAACCCGAGCGGCACAGGCTCCCCATATCCGCGGCGACTGCCCCCCCGTCACAGCTGACTTCTGGGCTTGGTTTGTTGCATTATTTTTTTTTTTAACCCCCCTCCCCCCCGCTGCTCCCCCCTCCCCACGGTTTATATATTTTTTATTATTATTAATTTTTCCGCGAGTGCGTGCGCGGGTGTGCGTGTGCGCGCAGTGCACGCCGAGCAGCTCCCGGGAAGAAAGAAAGAGAAAATCCCGAAGAAGGAAAGGAAGAAGCCTAAAGTCACTGGTGCAAAGGAGCAAAGAAGAGACATTTCCCTCCCCTCCTCCTCCCTCTTTTCCCCTCCCCAGGAGGAAAGAGAAGGGGAAAAAAAAGAAACTTTCACCTTGGACTCTTCTTTTTTTGGTGCAAACTTTCCCCCCCCCCTCTTCTTTTTCCTTTTTCCCCCCCATTCCCCCCCTTTTTTTTTTTTTTTCTTTTGTTTTTCCCCTTCCCCTTTTTGCAAAATTGCTGCTGGTGGGGTGAAGCAGGAGGAAAATGCCGCAGCTGAACGGCGGTGGAGGGGACGACCTGGGCGCCAACGATGAACTGATCTCTTTCAAAGACGAAGGGGAGCAGGAGGAGAAGATCTCCGAGAACTCCTCGGCGGAGAGGGATTTAGCTGATGTCAAGTCGTCTCTCGTCAATGAATCAGAAACGAATCAAAACAGCTCCTCAGACTCGGAGGTACGGGGGAAGCCCCCCGCGGGGCCGTTTCGGGGCGGCGGGCGGGCGGGCGGGCGGGGGCCGCGCTGTGCCCGGGGCCGCGCCGGGGCCGGGGCCGCCGCGCCGGGTCCCGCTCCCGCCGGCGCCCAACTTTCTCCGCGGCACCAACTTGTAACGATGCCTTCTGTTTTGTTCTGTTTGTCTCCCCTTCCACCTCCTCCCCGCACCTCTCCCTTCTTTTTCGCCTTTCATTCCTCCTCTTCTCCCTTGTCCCCCCCACCCCCCTTCCCCAACTGCCCCACGCCGACCCCCGGCTCGCTCCCAGGCGGAGCGGCGGCCCCCGCCTCGGTCCGAAACTTTCAGAGATAAATCCCGGGAAAGTTTAGAGGAAGGTGAGTACGCGGGCCCGGCCGGCACCGCCGCCCGCCCCGCACCGCCGCCCCTCCGCCGGGCGCCCGGCTCCTCTTTTGGGGACACTTGCTAAAAAAACTTTTCCTTCCTCCCTTCTCCTCCCTTCTCTTCCCCCTGTTGCCCCCTTCCTTCCCCGCTCCCGCTCGTGTCTCCCCGCCATGTTAGCTGCGAAGAGGCAAGATGGAGGGTTGTTTAAGGGCCCACCATACCCGGGTTATCCCTTTATAATGATCCCCGACCTCAGCAGCCCGTATCTGCCCAATGGATCGCTCTCTCCGACGGCGAGAACGGTAAGTGCCTTTTTTTTTTTTCTTCCCCCCTCTCTTTGCTCTCCCACCCCCCCGCTCCCTGCCCGGCTCCCGCCGCCGCCGCGCTCCCGGTGCCCCGCTCGCCCCGGCCCTGCCGCCGCCCCCTCCCCCGCGCCGCAAACTTTCCAAACTCCGCGGGCCGCGCCGGGAGGGGATTGTTTACACTTCGCCATATTCCTTTTTATTTTTTTCCCTCGTTTATTTCTTGTCTCTTTCTTATTTGTTGTTATTTTTCTTGTTACTTTCAGTTTTGTGGACGATTTTTTTTTTTGAGCCCTTGTAACCTCCGCTGCGAGGGGGGGTGGGGAAGGAAAAAAAGCAAACAAATTCCAAACAACACCTATTTGAGCCTCAAAACAAAACTGGAAACAAATTTTTAAAAACCCAAGAAGTTTGGGTTTGGGGTTATTTTCACACCCCCCTGCCCCTTTCCCTTCTCTCCCATCTCCTCTCCCCTTCCTTGGGGAGGGGAGTTATTTTCTCCCGGCCGAGCCTGCGATCCGCTCCTCCAAACTCCTCGTTTTCCATGGTGATCCGTCGCCTTCTGCCCTCCTCCGTGGCGGCTGGGCCGGCTCCCCCTCCCCTTTCCTCCCCCTTAACCCTCTCCTGCCCTCGCCCGCCCCGGCCTGCGGGAGCGGCGATTTCATTGTGCCCCTCCGGGCCGCGGGTGCCGCGAGTTGTGCCCGGGCTCAGCCCGCTCCGGCCGGCCCGATCCGCGCCCCGCGGCGTGCGGGGGCCGAGCGCGCTGCCCTGCCCGCCGGGGCCGGGCCCGGGAGCGGCTCCGTCCCGCTGCGGAGCGGGGGGAGCCGCGCTCGGGGCGCAGGGCTGAGTCCGGAAACAACTCGCCTGGCTTGGCTCTGGCAGCAACAACAGCAGCGCAAAAAATAATCAGACAAGTCGAGCAAAATTCCTCTTGGAAGTATGCTGGCAGGAAAACAGTTTGCTGAAAGCGTCCGGTTTTTTGTTGTTGGCTTTTTTTGCCTTTTTTTTTTTTTTTTACCCCCAGCTCGGGGTTCACTAGCAGGGGTGCAGGTTTGCGTGTGCCTGCAGCTAGAGCGAGGTTTAGCCCAGATCCCAGGAAACTTTGGGGTCTGCTGGTGGGTTTGTAGTCCCAGCTGTTTTCCCTGCTCGTAGTGTCACCCACGGTGTGCTCTACTCTGACATCAGATTTCTCAAGTGTCACCTTTCCTTTCCTTTTTTAAAGAGTTTAAAAAATTTTTCATTTTGAATGGGTAAATCCACTGGGACTTCCAAACACCACGGATTCCTACCGATGGCTTTAGCGTTGCTGTTTTGTTTCTTCTGGGTGTTTCTGAGTCTGAAGCGTTCCCACCATCACCATGTGTGTTTATACACTTTTTTTTTCCTTGTGGTAACACGAGATAGCGATTTACAATAATAGATCTACTGTTGGGTAGATGTTGAAGCCGTACTAATGACTGAGGGCTTGGACAACTTCAGTATATCAGATCTACAAGTGTTTTAAAGCATTAAAATATTAAACATCGGGTCAGTCTTGTTTTCACTTAGTAAAACGTCAGTAGACACAGATTAGTAAATGTAGAGTGACAGGGAGGTTGAGAGGAAGGTTTTCTGACTTTGCATATGTTTAGGGCTGTGGCAGAGTTTTATTTTGGAAGCTTGTGAGGTTCTTTTTGTGAGGAGGTGATTTCTGGGACAGTAGCAGAGGGGTGACTGCAGTTTGCAATTGTAATGATGGGGAGGGGAATTCAGGGGCTGAATGCATTATATTTTTTTCTTTTGAATATGGTCGCCCACATGTATATGGATGATGGTGATAAATTCCAAATTCCATAAGTACCGGAATCCAGATGGCAAAACAATCTTTGTTCCAAATCACTTTGTTACGAATTGTGAAGCTTTGTGTTCCTTTTTTTTCCCCCTCGTTTTTTACCTTCAATGCATTCCACTGCTCCAAGTGCAGGCTAATCGGAAGCACACCTCTGCTGCCTTTTTCTTAAAGCATTTTTCTTACAACAGCTCCAGCTCTTTTTTCCTCATTACCTTTATTACAGATCCCTTTTCCCTTAGCATGTGGGGTAGTATCCTTCAGCAGTTAGCTCTCCTGGAGCATTGCTCCCCTTGCTCCCCCACCGTTAAAAAAGGCCTCCATAGGAATGCTGGGTTCCTGTGAATTAAAGGTGCTGTACAAAAGCTTACAGGTTGGTTTATTGTTGGTATAGCAGGTGGCCTGCTTGTGTTATCAGATGAATTCTGAAAGGATATTTCCACACTCAATAGGCAATTTTCTTATTTCCACATCCAGGCTCCAGCAACCTTCTCCTATCTTCTTAACCTTATTCTTTCACATTCCGTATGCTTGTTTGTTTGCCTGCCACTTAATTATAGCCAGGAAAAATTAAAGTTGTTTATTTAGGCCTGAGAACAGAATATTATAAAGATTCAGCGGGATAGCTGTTGTCTGTCACACACTATTTTTAGGTGGATTCTAGTTCTCTGCTGTACCAGCTTTCAGTTCCAGATGAACTAGATCTTTCTCTTTCCTGTTTGATTTTATTTTATTTTTAAATACGCGTTGGAAAGGTATAGATGGTTCTGCATAATTACGAATTTTATTTTTATTTATGTAGTTTTTCCTGGAGCCATATTTGTTGAGTGTCAGAGCATGCAAGGTAAAGAGGTGATGCAGATACGTAGCAAAATTGTTTTTCTTTTCCTTTTGCTGTTGTACAGTCTTAAAAGTCTGTGGGTGTGGTTTTTTTGTTGTGGTTTTTTTTTTTTCCTGGAATTTTTTTTTTATTGCTTTATTTGGGGGTGGAGTGGGATTATTGTGTTTTTTAAATGTACCTGTAATTGTCTGTTCAAGAGCAAACTTGTGGGCAGCAATTTCTCCTTTACTGCTTCAGGAATGTGAAGAATTATGAAGCATCATAAAATCTGCTTATGAGGAGTAATCTTTTCTCAAGGATAATGCTTTAAATACTGCAAAATCTTTATCAAGGTTGATAGGAATAATTTTATTTTCACAAATCAAAGATTTTTTTGCATGCTAACCTTGCTATTGATAGAATACTGTGGTGTGCTTATGAGAATAGATGTTATTAAGTAGAGGTCTAGTCAAATAGTGATGAAGTGACGCATCTGAGAGCACCAGTTCCATCCCTGCACTTGTGGAGGGACTGGGGTGGCTGCATGTTATGGATAATAAAGGAGACTGTTTTCCTTTCAGAGTTGGAAAACATAGAAGTGGTGTACTTGATTTTTAGCTTAAATTTGGAGCTTGGTTAATGCTTTTGGTAAGCAAATAGATGCAGTGTAATGTGAGAAAGCCCTGCTGGCGGATGCTCTTATTTTTACTAGTGCTGTTGCATCTTCCTTTCCCTAAGTTGTTGCTGGCTGAGTGGGACTGTAGGGATAAGCTTATGTTTGGCCCCGAAGTTTGGGAGTTTGGAATAGCTGTGGGGGAGAGCAGCCCTATCGCCTTGATTTTTATGTTTAGGAGGAAACACTTTTTGTTAATTGCCTTGAGAAATTGACGTTTTTCTTTATCTACTGAATCAAACAATGTAATCCTTCGCAATACAAAAGCTTTAGTCCTTGGGGTGTGAAGGGTTAATGGTGGTCCTTTTTTTTTTCCCCTCCCTCCAATTGTTTTGACAACACTTTTCAAAGTGTGACATTCCAAGCCCTTGCAATACAATGTAATATTACTGTAATTACACAGGTCATTACATTTTAAATAGAGAACAATAAAATGCTTATCGCCCTGAAAAAGAACAGGTGTTCTTGCCCTTCTTTGGTGTTTATGCTAATTGTTTTTCATCTCCTTCAGAAATATTTATGGCCGGAGTGTTAAGGTTTCAGTCTCGCTGTGACAATATTAATTCTTTACTAATCTTTATGGTTGAGGTTTAATGTCTGCAGTATGGATTATAGTATTAATGTCCACCAAGTAGTTTAATAATGTAGATACAACTTAATATGTCAGCACTTTGGTACTTTATGATACAGAGCTATTCAGTGGAGAGTGAATTATTTGCTTTGTTTAAAAAAAAAATGAATGGACATGCTTTTAATAAAGTTTCTGGACTTGTGTAAAAACAAGCTGTTAAATAAGAACTGATGATCCTGTGGTGTAAATCAAATGGAGCCTCCATAAAAGAAACTTTCCTCGTGCTTAATTAGGTAGATTGCTGAATCACTCTGCTATAGCATTAGCATAGCTGGTATACAGTGGCAAACAGACTGTGTTTGTTAACTTCCTTGCAGTAAAGAAGCTGATTTATTTTTAATGCTATGCTTTTTTTCTTTTTTATTTTTCTTTCTTCTTTTTCCTTTTTTATTTTTTTCCTTGATAAGATTTTATTCTGGAGCAAATGCTGCATTGCTTACTCCATCAGTTTCTCTTCAGGGGGCTATGAAAATTAGTTAGAGAAAAGTTTCATGTTTCTGGGACCTTGCAAAACAATATAATGCAGTACTGTTACTTGAGTGTACAGGATAATTGCAGGACTGCACTTCATTAAAAATAATATTTGCTTTGGAAATCGAACAATTTTAATAGGTGCACCAGTGGCTGATCTGTAGTGAAAAAAACACAGTAGATGCCTTTCCAGGTTTTTTGAATGCATTCATACAGCGACTGAGGATGTTGAATAGGGTGGTGTGGTTTATTTTTTCCCTTCTTCCCCTTCATTTTTTGTTCAAGTAAGTATGTGCTGATTTGTCAGCTGAAGATGGAGGGGGGAAGGAATATGTTGCAGCTTTCACTGGCGCTTGTAAACCAGAATGTAGGTAAAAATGTTTTAAATTTGTCAGGACTTTCATGAGTGGGCCCCAAAATCAGATAAAAAATGTGGTGTAGAGAAAAAGGACAGCTGCAGATTTTTTGTGTGGACGTGTGTTTCTGTACCATGACTAAAAACTCTAAGGACCTTTTCCCAGCTGTCTGGGAGTTATGTGGAAGTTGGATTATTGGCAGTTAAGCATGAGACAACCTG